AGTCTCGACCCGAAACGTCAGCTTTCCTGCTCCTCTGATGCTGCTTGGCCTGCTGTGTTCATCCAGCTCTACACCTTGTTATCTCAATATATTTAAAAACAAGCTATTCAAATGGTGTTTTATTTCCAGTTAAATAATAAGACTGAGAAGTCTTTTTTCCCTCTCATTTTGTTGTTCCTTTATCTCCAACTTGATTTAATCTCTATTGCTGTCATCTGACAGGTTGTCTTACTTAGGAAATATGTCATTGGTTGTCTGCCCACTTTACTGATATTTTCACTGTTCACAATCCCGCGTTTTCTTTTACAGGTGCAGTTTCCCATGCTCAAGTGACGAGTAGTACAATTGTTAACATGACAATGGCCTCTCACACACCACACGCTCCCGTAGTCACTACTTCTACCATTCCTGTCGGTGAGTCCACACCATCAGACTCTAGTTGAAATGAATTTAGTTTAACCCAAGCCTGTATCTGTATTAAGAGATTGGAACAGTTCACATGCGAGCTTCAGCTCTCTGTTCTGGATGATATGTAGCTTGTATAAGCAGAATTCTGCCTCCAGGGAGCGATGGAATAATGTATTGAATGAGATTGTCTAACTTAGAATTTGGTGAACTTTGCTAGAATGGTCCTTCCTATACAAGTGGGCTTGTGATCCTACAGTGCAATAAAATAATAGCTGGAGAGAAAATATAACTGCTCACCTATCAGCTTGAAAGGTATAGAAACAGAAAATTTATGCCACAGAAGGATGCCATTTGGCCACTCTGTCTGTGCTGACTGAAAAAAGAATGGAATACATTCCACCTTCCAGCTCCAGGTCTGTACCTCTAAATTGTGGCACCTCAAATGAACATCTTTTAAATTCAAGGCAGTGAGTTCTATGTCTGTCTCAGTGCATGAAATAATTTCTCAAGTTCCTTGTAATCTTGCAGTCATTTACTTTAGTTCAGTATCTCTGGTTATTGATTTCTCTGCAAAGTGCAGTAGGTTTTTTCCTATCCAATCTATATTATCTTATACACCACGAGTAAATCTCTCGTTAGCCTTTCTTCTAAGGAATACAGTTCCAAACTAGCCAATCTATCTTCATGGCTAAAATTCTCCATTCCTGTCAACATCCTCATAAATTCCCTCCCCTAGAGCATTGTGGGTCAATCTACAGTAGGTGGACTGCAGCGGTTCAAGAAGAGAGCTCACCACCACCTTCTCAAGGGCAGCTAGGGATGGGCATGAATGCTGGACCAGCCAATGATTCCTGCATCCCATGAATGAATTTTTAAAAAAAATTCTCCTCTATTCCTTTGCAGTGCAATCACATTGTAATGTGGTGATCAGAGTTGTACACTGCACACTGCAGTAGTGCACTGAAAATAAGAGGAGTCCATTTTTGAGATACTTAGAGATGGAATCTTGCTATTTTCTAATTTTGCACCAGGGTTTGACTTTATAGGCAGGGTGTACATAAATTCATTTGTTCATCCACTGCAACTTTGGAAGCGTCACAGTAACCCTGATTACCTGGCACAGGCAAGAAGGACTGCAGTCTCCACCACTAATGTATGCTATTTTGTCTTGTGTTCCAGCAAAAGTTGTTCCTCAACCAATAACTCACATGTCCCCACGGATCCAGCCTGACTATACAACAGAAAGAGGGAACCTGATCCCCATCCCTGGTCACAGGGCCTCGCCTAACCCTGTTACCATGGAAACGCGAACTGAGAACCGGTAAGCTGTCAGATGGAGCTATGATCTCCAGTGCTTGAGTCGGTGCTTGAGGTTAGAAGCCCAAGTAAAGATTTTTGTGGATGCCCAGATATAATGTAAGTGTCAAGGTTTTCCCCTTGCATCTCTCCCATTCCCATCCCTCTGAGGGTGCTGACTTGTTTTTGTCCACAGCTGCAGACATGCCTGTTAGTAGAAGTGTGAAGGGAGAACTGTCTGCCATAAGGTGTCTCTCTCTCTCTCTCTCTCTCTCTCTCTCTCTCTCTCT